GGGCGGGTTCAAATATCGTCTTAATAGATCTGGATCTTTTTATTCGTTCTCTTTCATTTTGACTTATAGTCTGGAAATCAATTAAGGCTTTACTGTACCTTCAGATGAAACTTACCATTCAGATCGATGACAATTATAGTAGTATCAAAGTGTGGTTACTTGCTCTTTGATGATAATTATCCTTGATTAGCCCAGGACTCGCCAACATGCAAATGTCACATAATGCAAGGGAGGTTAAATAAGTCTTTGGTATGGATATAAAGGAATCATTGTAGAGTAATGAAATTTCGCCAGCCTTTCGACAATTTCTTTGGAATACACCATGCAAATTTTCAACACCAAAAAACGACAATGATACCAAAAATAAGGCAGTAAGCAGCGTGTTCTATGAAGCGATGCTAAAAAAACAGGGTTTTTTTCTGAAGCTGTGCCAGAGATCCTGTTGAATATCGCTCAATTATCAAGTTTTTACACTTGAAAGTGAAAGGAATATCCCGTTCGGACATTATTCAAGAAATGGACCACGTTTATCGTGACAAAGTCCTCTAAATACTGTGGTATACTGGGTAAGAAAATTCAAATCTGGATTCCTGTCGGTAATGGGTGAAGATCGTAAAGGGCGCCCATCTTTAATTGGTCGCTTTTAAGGACGAGCGGGCTACCCAGATTTCGGGGGTTTCCAGAATTCTCGACCTATACCAAAAGGGGGCATGCCCTGCTATGGATTAGTTTGGTTTCATTGGTGTGTGTATTTGTTTGGTAATAGAGAAGACCCTCCTTGTCTTTTAAAGAAACTGAACAAGAGGCAAAAACCTTATCTTCGAATTTTCGCTAAACAGCATCGTTCGGGATAGCCCCCTTGAGCTTAAAAGCGACCAACTGTGGTAACTGAAGAGAATGCACCCATAGTGAAGAAACAGGTTCTACAAAACCGATGTATAACTGTTAAACAGCTCTCAAGTAAAACTACCCCCTCCCTTCCCCACATACACATGTGTAGAGTCTATTGAAACGATTTTCCATGACCATCTTAATATGAATAAGATGTTTGCGCGGTGGGTAGGCCTACCCCACTTTTTGACAGGTGAGCAAAAGAAGCGGAGGGTTGAGTCCTGCCAAGCAGCCAAACTCTTCTTCGAATTGAGTCCTGTGACAAAAATTTCTTTTAAAACATGGTGACTATGGATGAAACATGGATTTATCATTTTGTTCTAGAACAAAAATGTCCTCCTTGCAGTGGAAAGCCCCTTCTTCTTCCTCCACAAAGAAGGCAAATGTAACACCGTTAAGTGGAAAGGTTATTATGCTGTCGTGTTTCTAGGACTGGGAAGGTATCATCATGACTGACTACATGGAAAATTGAAAAGCAGTCACAGGAGACTACTACTCGGGTTTGCTAATAAAATTGCCGTCCGGATTGGTGAGAAAAATGCGTAATGGGGTAATCCTACTGCATGCCAACGTCCCTGCGCACATGGCACAACATGCAGTCCAAACAGCAGAACAGTGCGGCTTTGAAATCCTGCCACACTCAGCTTTTTCACCAGACCTCGCCCTTTCAGACTTTTTTCTGTTTCCTAGTCTTAAAATAAATCACACAAAGGACGTCGTTGCCATGACAACGAGGATGCCGTTGAAGCTGTTGAAGACTGGTTAGGTTAGGGCCCATTCTGGGTCATTTTTCTCTCAAGGACTTTTGAGTGTCAAAGAGAGGTGGCAGAAATATGTTACTCTGCATGGTGACTATATAGAGAAATAAAAGTATGTGTGCCTAGTTACAAAGCTTTATCTTTTTTTCCTTCATATTTAGAGCAGTGGTGGTGGGTAGTGAAGAGCTTACGGGCTTGAGCCCCTCACCCCACCCCGTCCCCACCCCAACATTATCCCTTAGTTAATGAAAGTTTCTTAAATAACGAAATAAACAGTTGAAACCGTTATGATCGCACACAATGAACACACAGTTTTCAGCTTGGCGGCTTGCCCGTTTATCCCATCATTGTTGTCACCGCTTACAACTATAGTAACCTAACAGCCAATCAAATGTCGTTAGGGCTCAGAAAGAATAAGCCGGTTCCTTCGCCCGTCTTTAATGAAACTCTTCTTGTAAAAAAGTAAAAGACTTTAAAAAATAGCACTGCACAGAGGGCTCACGCTCTCCCAGCCCTGACAATGGGGTGAAAGTTTACGACACACTTTCCCCCAGTGACACAGTTACCTATGCGCCCATTGGGCCTTTGTTAGGCGCGTTCTATTATCCGCAACAACACGACCCAATCCACCTCATAGACGGTATGTGTTTGAAGTGCTGTGTGTTTGTGCCTCTGAGATTTAATAGTTATTAATTACAACAAACCACTTTTGAGGCAACTTTTTCTTCAGATAAAAACTAATTAGAGAAAATTGGAGGTGAAACGGCTTCGTTAACTAAGAACAAAGTGATGGAAGACAAAGGTGACTCTTCTCGTTTGAATGGTTCTCAAAATGCCGTGGCTCGCCGTGAGTATAGAAAAATCATCACTGTTTTGTTCTTATTGCTTGCTTTTTGGTTGTAAAGAAGTGGGAGAAACCTAAGCCCCACCCAAATCTTGGTCCACCCACCGTCACTGATTTAGAGCAAAGACTTCTTGCATCTAGCCCAAAGATCGTTCTGTGGCCTACAATCCATGAGCAGCCCACGTCTGGCCTCTGTCTGGTTGAGGAAACTCGAAGAATCGGTATTTAATCTAAGGTATCGCCCGACTGACTGTAAAAGCTCGCTTTCGCTTGTCTCTCAGTAACTCACTGAGTCAGCTATCATTTCCAAAAATACATCATGGTGTCAGGCATTGCATTAATAATATATATGGACTGGGACCTTTGCCTTTTCCCAAAGAGCCTTGGCGTTGGTAGGACTTGTAATGTACTTCACTTTCCTCTTTCTGAACTCGGATTTGTGAAGGGAAAAGAACGACGATTCGGTTATCCACAGCGGATATTACACATAGGTTAACACTCCTGGCTTTGGATTTCGCAATTGCAACAAGATTTCGCAAAAGTTGCGCAGACAACGACTGCTTGAGACTCATAAATTATAAATTCAAAGATTAAGAGCCAGGCTGGTGAGACAGTGACTGAGAAGCGAGGAAGTAGGCCCAGGATAACATATAATATATATTATATCTGATCTGTGTTTCTGGCCTGGTGTCCTGAGGGTCGGTAACCGGTAAGTGTATCTAATTTTATCTAAAGTTTAGACTATACACAGGAGAGATTTTGATTAGATCTAGATCTAGATCCCTATCATAATATGTGAAAAGAAGTGCTTAAAACTATGAAAGGACATGCCATTGCTAACCTGACAAAAATGACTCCCGCCCTCATGAAACACGACATAGCCTACGTTGCCTTTCCCATGAAACTTGCCTTCACAATTCACTTTTGCTTATCCCCCCCCCTTCCCCTTTCCCCCTAGGCCTAAGTAAGTAAATATAGAGACGCTTGACTATCGTCAACTGTCTGGCAGAGTGAATGGATCTTGAACTTATACTTACTTATTGTGAGGAGTTAGAACGGTACGAAGTAAACTTAATGACTGTGACATGAGCCAGCCAATTAGAATTGCGACTTCAATAACCCTTGAGATGCTCGTTCTGTTAACTACGAGTTCAAATGCCCCCACCCCCCAACCCCCAACGATTCCGTCTGGCAAACAACAGTTTACACCAGTTAAATGACTTAGCTTACATTTGTGTTTCAGACTTTAACTGAGATTTAGTCCGTTTCCGTCTATCTTAAATAACAATTAGGAATGAATTTATAAAGTAGGCTACTTTTTGTTTATAAAATTCAATTCTATGTAGCCTAAATAATTACATTTAGGCACACTTTTTCACAGAGTTTACATGTGTGTGTGTGTGTGTGTGTGTGTGTGTGTGTGTGTGTGTGTGTGTGTGTGTGTGTGTGTGTGTGTGTGTGTGTGTGTGTGCGTGGGTGTTGTAACCCCCGCGCAAAAGTGTGCTTAAACGCAGCCTATTTATTATTAGATTGATTGATAGATCGATAGATCGCGATAGATAGATAGATCGATAGATCGATAGATAGATAGATAGATAGATAGATAGATAGATAGATAGATAGATAGATAGATAGATAGATAGATAGGCCTATGATAAAATGTAAAATACAAAAGTAAAGACGAAAACCCATTAAAAATAGGCATAGTAATAAAATGATTTTTAAAATTGTTTTTATTAATATATATAATGTATGTATGTGCCTCTATATACGCTAGGTATAAATGTATAAATATATATATATATATATATATATATATATATATATATATATATATATATATATATAAAATATATATTTTTTTTTTCTTTTTTTTTTCTTTCTGGGTTTCCCTTTCTACTTGCTAGCCTATAACTCATCTCCATACTAAAGACTTAATTCCATGTATAGGACTTGTATATAGGCCTATATATATATATATATATATATATATATATAGATATATATATATATATATATAATATAACCACATCAAAGTTCAGCTTGAGCAGTTAGCTGGGAAAAAAAACCATGTGTATGTGGGGAAGGGGGGCCGGGGGTAGTTTTACTTTTACACCACATAATTTTTTCTGAAAATCAAGAGAAATCTATCCCGTCAAGTCAAATGTTATATCTCTTTAATGCTGTACAGGCTTCATATTTCATCCTTGACAGACTGCAACCATGAAAACACATTGTGAAAGACTAGTATAGAATAGTCTGCCCGTACAGTAGTCAGATTGTAGAACAGGAACATTACGGTAGACTGTTAAGTACATGTAGAACAGAAACATTGTGGTCGACTGTCAAATAGGACTGAAACATTGCGGTAGACTGTCAAGAGCACAGAAACATTTCGGTAGACCCCTAAGTAGAACAGAAATATTGCTGTAGACTGTCAAGTGAACAGGCACCCATAATTGGAATTAGTGTGGAGTGTAACTTCAGGTTGAGATATATACTCGTATAAGAAGGAATTCGTTGACACATGCACACAAATACATTTTAGGGTACCTTTATTTTTTATATGCCTTTCTTTTATAGAGTGCTATTCTTATAGTATAGATAGGGATGTATAATTAAATCTATACCTTTCTATGTTTTGCAGATTGCCACGTAATATGGTGCTCCGGGCTTCTCTTTGCCTCAGTTTGATACTGGCTGTGGTCTCACAACCTTCCTTCAGTTCTCTCTTTTCAGAACAAGGAGGTAAGTAGGTAGCAGTTGTTTCTTGACTTATTTTCCTCCCTACTGAAAGCCCACTTTAAATTACAGTAGCTGCTTCATGACTGTTAACTGTTATCAATACTTTTTCTCTAATTTTCTATCTTTTCTGGCTACAAAATTTTCTTTTACTTCTGGGTAAATAAGAAATAAATATGGGGTAAATTGCTTTCCCTTCTTTTTACTAGTAATTTTAATTATCTTTTCTAGCTATTCAGCAGTTGGTGGACTTCTGCCTTTATGATGGCTTCCTGTACAGTTTACGAGTCCGCTGGAACCATTTATTTACCGTGGTAAATCTCTCCTCAGTTCCTGTGACGACCTCAGAAGAACCATGTTCTGTGACAGTCAACATGAAAGAGCATATTACGTACTCCCCATTTGTTGACAATCAGACCCTTCCTTTGAGAAATACAAGAAACACGGGAGTTTGCGGCAGTTGTCCAACACCACCCTCAAAGGAGTGCAGGATTACCTTCACTGTTCCAGATGAAATGGACAAAGAGCTGTTTAGAATCTGTTATCATCCTGAGGTTTATCGTTGTTCACAGTGCCAGAGAAATGTCACTTTCAAGGAAAGCTCTACAAATGGTACTTCTGATCTCGAGGTGAGCAAGACTTCTCGTAATACATCCTTGTGCATGTAATTGTAGATATTTTACTTCCCATCTACACACTTAAGATCACACAGGAGGCAAGCTACTTCCACCTTGCATACCACGGCCAACCAGGGCTGACAGGGATACAACGTCCCAGATGACAGACAGATATATTCAATTTAAAAAAAACAACTCCCCACTGTGGAGTGGAACTCGGTGTTTTCTGCATGGGCTGGTGAAGTGCTTAGCTGCTACTTTACAGACGCTAGTAGGACTATGTGTTTGAATTGGTCATATTAGTTAAGTTTTTGTACTCAATGCTACCATGAATCTGACTTCTGACACATTGTGGAGATAAAGATTAATGGCACTTACTGAACCTCTGAAAGCGGCTGAAGTAGAATTTTATGAGGTGGACTTGATTCTGGTATCCTTGTACTGTGGTATTGCAGTGATAAGATAACTAAGATTATACTTTAGTGTCAATGTGGGAAATTTTCCATTGTTTTACAGGAATGGTAAAACCACATGGATATATAGGATACAAAGAATTAAATTTCTAAAAATTACTTTCTTTAAAGAATTTCAGTATGAAGAGCAAAATGAAGCTAACATCAATACAACTCGTCCCACTCAAATAGTTGTATAGACATTATATATTTATATACTCTTTAATATTTTTAACTTCACACATTTAAAGAGCGTGTAGCTAAAAAACTACACGTCCAATTACTTTGAAAGCTGTACCCATGTCGTCCAAGGGCATTTTCTTTTGTGAATTGTACTTACTTAGGTGCACTGAACTATTTTTATGTCTGACGATGTCATTCTTGAGGTTTTGAATGTTTGTCAAATACTGTGAAAATATGTAGGCCCTGCGTAACTTTAAAAACCAAAAAACTAGGCTTGTAAAGTTGGACTCCTTCCAAATTTTTCGCCTCATCTAAAGGTGGCTTCTCTTTATTGATTCACCATGCTTTGGCTGAATGAAGAAGATAGAAGTCACATCATAGATGACGAAATGCTTCAGGTGGGCACTCCGCTTTCGTCAGTCGCGAGACGGTTCAACATGAACAGACACACTGTGTATGCCACTCGAGATCACATGGCAACTGTAAACTCCCAAAAGGACAGATCCAAGCGAATTGGGCGCAGAAAGACAAAACGGAGGGAGGATGCATTCATCCTAACGCAACGCTTGAGAAATCAACTTCAACCAGCAAACACATACCCAAGAAGAATCAAAAAGAGTTAGAAATGACAGTCCGATCTTTGTCATGACTGTTCTTCTTCGTTTGAAAGAGGGGAACCCTTGTGCTAGACACCTAGTTTGTCGCATAAAACTGCATCCCAGTCACCTCCAGCACAGATGTCACTGGGCACAGGGTCGCGTGTGATGGCTGCTTCGTATTTGGAATAAGTACGTGTTTTCAGATGAGTCCCAATTTCCACTGGAACGGTATGATGGATGGGCCAGAGTCTACAGAAGACCTAACCAAAGGTTACATCATAGCTTGATTCAGACAAGCAAATAATTTTGGCGGAGGCTATGTCATGGTGTTGGCTGGAATCAGTGTCTATTTGTGGGAACATAGAGCTCTAAGCTGAATCAACAAAGTTCTCCATCCCAATGTACTTTTCTTTCAAAATCAAGCCCAACGATAAGTATTCGTGCATGGTAATGCACTTGCTCATAAAGCTGCTGTGACAAATGAAATTTCTCAAAACTAACACTCACGTCTGCCCCGGATCCTTGCTCAGTTAGAACAGCCTTTTTATTCAAGAGTGGAATAACATCCCTCAACAGACAATAGCTTGACTCATTCATTCCAAGCGTGAACGATGTGAAGATGCGAACAGTGCCAGATGTCATTACACGTTACTGAAAGCTGTCACTTTGCATGTAAACTGTAAGTTCAAAATTGAAGATAAACAACATTATCAGCTTTCCATTCGACGTGTTTCTCTTGCTGTAAAATAAATGCATTATCTTATCTGAAATTTTCAGATAGATTTGATTGGTATTGAGCAAGATATTGCCTTCCATATGAGGTGCATGTTGTTATTGTTGTTGTTTTCAAATCCCTTTAGCTGCGAGCATTTGGCTCTTGGCAGCGCAATGCCTCCCTCAAGTAACCACATGTCCTTGTCATCTGGTCAACGCGAGAGTAGAGCAGGCTTTGTAAGTCTGTATGTGTGGGTAGGAGCCTGCGCCGAAGAACTGCCAGGTTTAGGCAGTGAAGGAGAAGATGTTCAACGGTCTTCTCGTGGTAGTCACAGTGTCTGCAATGGGGTTCCCACATGGGATTAATTCCGTTTATGTGCTTGTTGGTGTGTTAGTGTCCTGTGCGGGTTCTGAAGATCAAAGTCTGATCGGCTCTACATAAAAAATTCGAAGGGTCTTTGGGGTTGGGTTTGTCCATGTACCCGAAGAGAGATCTTCCTGTTTCTTCGTTGGCCCATCTGTTTAGCCAATCGTCTCTGCTTTTGGCTTGGATGATCCCTTTGCAGGCGGCTGTGTCTGTCTGGGGCAGGCTTGCTCCTGTCTTTTATGGCTGGTCGGCAGTCTCATTCCCTGGTACTCCAGAATGGCCAGGCACACACTGCAGTGTACCCCGGAGCTCCCCTAAGTGCTCTTTGAGAGACAGCTTTCGGTCGAGTTGTACACCAAGGTACTTGGGATGGTCCTCATGTTTGATAGTGGTTCCATTGATCTTAAGGTTTACCTGACCTGCTGTAACCTAGTTTTGAGGCTGAAGAGTCCAAAAACAGTCTTGTCTGTGTTGATCTCCATCTTCCATAGCTGGCAGTAGGACGAGATAGTAGTCAGGTTCGCATTGATGGCTTGGTTCTGTGCTCTTATGTCACTTCCTTTGCTACAGATGAGCAAGTCGTCAGCGTAGAGCGCTTTCTGGCAGGAGATGACATCTGGCAAGTCGTTCATGAATAACAGGAAGAGAGTACAGTTGAGTGCTGACCCCTGTGGGAGGCCTTCCTCGGGTGTCCTATGTGAAGAAATCTTGCTGTCACATGACGTCTGGATAGTTCTGCAAGACAGAAAGTTCTTGATCCAGCTGTAAATCCTTCCTGCTATCCCAAGCTTTTGCATTTTGTAGAGCAGTCCCTGTCTCCACACACGGTCATACGCCTTCCTCAGGTCGATGAAAACAGCCACAACATTGTCTTTATCTTGAAAGGCATCGCTGGTCTTCTGGGAAAATCTGATGAGGTGGTCCATAGTTCTTTTGCCTTTCCTGAATCCTGCCTGTAATATGCTGATTGTGCCGGTGTTTTCCATCCACCAGTACAGTTTGTCGTTGACCATTCTCTCGACGACCTTACCCAGGCATAATGTTAAAGAGATTGGTCTATAGCTTGAAGGCTGGCTTGCTGGTTTCTCCTTCTTCAGTATTAGTGTGATGTTTGCCTTCTTCCATTCTGTTGGGAGCTGTCCCTCATTCCAGGTCCTGTTGAAGAAATCCAGGAGTATGGAGAGGGAAGAGTCTGTCAGGTTGAGGATCATCTCATTGGTGACGTGGTCTGATCCTGGGGCCTTTCTCTTCTTACACTTTTTTAGGGCTGCTTTCAATTCCATCAGAGTAAACTCCTTCTCAAACACCTCCAGGTTTACCTTGGGAGTCCGTTCTGCCCTTTTGGTCAGCTGCTTTATTGTGTGGCTCAGTTTGTTCTGGGTTCCTTTCTTGTTGATGTTAGCAAAGTATTTATTCATAACCTCAGCTCTGCATGTTTCTCCTTTCTCAGTTGGTTTCATTTTGGCGGGGTTTTTTCTTCTTTTTATACCTGAGAGATTGGTGAGCAGGTTCCAGGCTTTCTTCCCGTCCTTACGCATGTCTAGTTCTCCACAATGTTCTCTCCGTGTTTTTCTGTTCGCACTTTTGCTCTTCAGCTTTACCTTTGCAGTCAGGTAGTTGTAGTGCTTTCTGTTTTCGGCTGTTGGGTTCTTCTCAGCACGCCGTCTGGCTTTCTTTCTGGCCTTCGTCAGTTGTTCCAGTTCTTTGTCCCAAGAAGGGCGAAACTTCTTTGGGTTCCCTCTTGGAATCGCTTCCTTAGCAGATGTCTTTAGTGCTGTGATGATGTCCTTGTAGCACTCGTCAATTGGGTTGATCGTGCATACTTCCAGGAGTCTACTTTCTGATTTCTGTTGGTAGAGCTCCCAGTTTGCTTTCTTGTAGTTCCAACTGCATCTTATGGGGTTGGTCGGTTCTCGTTTCCTGTTGCTGGATATCTGCAGTAGGATTGGGCGGTGGTCACTTCCTATGTCATCTAAGACAGTCATGGAGCAGTGCGGGTGAAGGTCAGCAGAGACCTAGGTCAAATCTGGTCTGCTGAGAGTTCCGCTGGCTCTATGAAGTAGGGCGGGTGGTGTCTTGTCGTTCTGAAGTGAAATGAGGTTGCTTGATCTCAGTAGTTCTTCTTCAACTGTTCCTGTTGTGTCTGTATCACTGCAATCCCACAGTGGAGAAATTCCATTGAAACCTACCGCAAGAATGGTAGGTCTGTGGTCTGTATTCGGGAAGTTGAGCTTGAGAGTAGTTCTCGGTGGGCAGTATACATTGTAGATGATATAGGTTGTTCCATCTGACTGCTACACTTTCATTTCCTGCAAGTCAGTCTCGTCATTGGTTTCTGGGTGAGAAACCTCAGCGGTGATGTCTTCCGAATGAGGGTTGCGACACCTTTACATTTGGTGCACTTGCAGTGCTACATTGTGTAGCCTGTCAAATGGAAATCTATCCGCTTGGGTAGTTGGGTTTCTTGCAGAAGGGCTACATGAATTTTTAAGTCTGACAGCATCTTTACCATTTTCTTGTTCTGTATAGATGAGATGTTCAGTTGGAGTATATTCAATATGTGTCTGTAGGTTGGGGAGTCTGTGTGTTGCTTGTGGCCCCTATACCTGCAGTGGGGGTCCCAGTAGCTGACTTGTCACTCCCGCCCCCGGGTGAAGGCAGAGAGCGCAGACCTTGATAACTGAAGCGACATCCGAGCTCGTAGAGTTTCATCTGTCGTAGAGGCATTCTATAGGTTTGGGGGTTGTAAAGGCTTGTATGCATCCCTGTAGGATCTCAGGTAGGTGGTAGTCTAGTCTTGACACTGGTTTGTGCCCAAACATCTTGCCACAAGAGAACAAAGGTGCAATGTTCGTTGTCCTGGTTTCCATCAACCTTCACGGGGATTTCTTAGGATAGTAGACAATTATAGGGGTGTAGGCACACTCTAGTTCTGGGAGATGGGAGCCACAAAGTGCAACCAATGACCAGTGATCGTCTGAGCAGTCCGGTGAGGGGTCCCATTGAGTAAGGGGTAACGCATTCCTTCCACAGTGAGTCGTCTACATCACCAAGCGTAGCTTACGTTTGCCCAATCCCCGCCACCTGCTGTCTCCTGGCTATCTGCTATCACCATTTCCGTTCATGGCGCAGAAAAATCCAAAGGATGACCATATCTACTCAGACAGAGGATAACATATGTTACAGAGGATCGTAATGTCATGGATCAGCGAGCATTTGCGAGGATATTTGTAGGGACGTCATCTGTTTCCAGGCAGCCTATTCCTAACAGCTACAAGGCCTTCTGGGTCATCGGAGACATCTCACGATGAGTCATCTGGCAGTCTGTGGGTACCATGCACCGTCTGTAGAGCTCCCACGAGAGGGAGGGAAGAAGATGTCGACAGTGAGTTCCTGAATGAACAGGTTGGCCTGCTGTGACGCCAGACCTACCATAATGGTGGGTGTGTATGGACCATTCTACGAGCCGAAGGGTCTCTGCTCATATCGCACCTCACATTGCTATGGTACCTCCTGGCCAGAGCTCCGTCTGCAACCCCTGCTCCTGTGCAAAGAGCAGGGGTCCCCATGCTGCTCGACAGGGACGGGGAGTTGACTTGGTTGAGGCTGGCTAGCCAGGGAGTGTCTGGGGTTTCACCCTCAACCCTCACAGCCCATATGAGGTGCATAAAGTTTAAAATATTAAAGAGTATATATGTTACAGTAAGAATACGTACCTAGTGAATACGCATAATCACTGAATATTTTAGAGAATACACGTAATTCCCATTTAACTCAGGGGTTTCACGTAATCACTGAAATTTCTAGTGATAACGCGAAATCCCTAAAATTAGACCTATCATTTTACCTGTTTTTACTACTGAGCATTCAGTGAATTCACGTAATAGCCCCGCCACTGTACAGGGATTACGCGTTTTCACGGAAATTTTCAGTGATTACGCGTATTAACTAGATTGATCTACGAGTTCTTACTGTAACATAGATCTGCCAGCTGGCAATCAATGAGACAACGTGTGTAAACCAGTTCCACTTGTTGATCGAGGGAGAGGCGATCCCACAAATGTCCTTGGTGTCATACTTGACGGACGAGAAGATAGCCGTAAAAGCTGGTTTGTATTCCAGAAATTAGTTCGATCTGTGCCCTGAGCGTCTTCTGAACACCGACGACATAAACACCGAAAAAATAGTTTCACTGCGTTTGGCGGTGATTTTTCAATCTGTTTCAGGTGGACAAGGCTTCACAAGATGTAACTGTACGCGTGCCAAAAATTGTAGTTCAAGACGATGTAAATGCCGTAAAGCACGGCCTCAATGTAACTTACGCTGTCATAGTAGCCTCAATTGTTGTAACAAGTGACGAAGTAGATGGATTTTAGTCTTAAGTGTTTAACTGAAATCTGAAACAACAGCAACAACAACAACAACAACAACAACAACAACAACAACAACAACAACAACAACAATGGTGTCTGTCATTTAAAAAACATTAAACACTATGTGTGTGTGTGTGTGTGTGTGTGTGTGTGTGTGTGTGTGTGTGTGTGTGTGTGTGTGTGTGTGTTGTGTGTGTGTGAGAGAGAGAGAGAAAGAGAGAGAGAGAGGGAGAGAGAGAGACAGAGACAGACAGAGAGAGAGAGAGTAAGAGAGATAGAGGGAGAGAGAGAGAGAGAGACAGAGACAGACAGAGAGAGAGACAGAGAGAGAGAGAGAGAGAGAATCTTTTACCGAACTATTTAATCAATACAATTTTGCATGTGTCTGATCATTTTTTAGAATTTATAAATGCTTAGTTTTTAGATTCTGGAGCATGTGAGTGTGTGTGTGTGTGTGAGTGTGTGTGTGTGTGTGTGTGTGTGTGTGTGTGTGTGTGTGTGTGTGTGTGTGTGTGTGTATGAAAGAGAGAGAGAGAGGGAGAGAGAAAGAGAGAGAGAGTATCTGTTACCGAACTGACTATTTAAGGAATAAACGTTGACAAAAGTAAATTACACTACACTCGTCTGATCAGGGATTACGCGTAATTACTGTGACTATTTTTCAGGGATTTCGCGAAATTCCTGATTATTTCAGTGATTACGTGAAATCTCCGAGTGAAACAGGGATTACGCGTTTTCACTGAAATATTCAGTGATTACGCGTATTCACTAGGTACGCGTTCCTACTGAAACATAATATACATGTATGTGCATACATAAAAATCCACAGCATTGTTCATTTTGACAGCTGCCTTTGGAAACCTCTTTTGTATCTGTTTTTGTTGCATTTTGGTGATATGTATCTCCTGAGCAAGCCAAAGAAGTATGGCCAGGGGTTCGAGAGTCCCAGTTCCCTCTGATTCTTAGCTTAGTACCCAAAATACTGTGTGACTTAACTCAAGCAGCAAATGGATGATTTTGATTCCGCATATATTGTCATTTTGTAAATGAATGGTTTAAAATGACACTTTTTCATCTTTTCCTTTAGATTGATTTCATTCCATCACTACCACCCACACACACACACACACACACACACACACACACACACACACACACACACACACATATATATATATATATATATATATATATATATATATATATATATATATATATTATAGGCATATTTGAAGGAGAACGATTTTTAAATTCGTGATACAAAAAATACCTTTAAAAATGAAGTTTCCCAGAGATTCTGAATTTTAAGAAGATGAAAATGGAACAACATTGTGAGTATAAAAGTGTTAGGATGAATAAAATTTGTTCTCAAAATATACATAATCTTTAATAATTCCTTAATTTTGTGTTTGTTTTACAGACTTTGGCATGCAGCTCTGGCAACTACAGTGGTATATACACGCCTAAAATTGACAACGAATGCTTGAGACCTGGACAAAATCTCGAAATTTTCTTCTATGATGAAAACTTTTGCTCTCACGTGAGGCTAATACGAATGTTTCCTCAAGGTTGGTTTCAACCAAGTTTTTATTTATTGCATTGGTCATGGTAAACTCTAGTGATGTAGCGAGGGCTGGGCAATGATTCGTTACCTGCAAACACAGAGGGTACGCTCGAGAAACAAGTGAACCGCTTTACAAGCAGCGGGTTAAAAGAATTGCTTTTATACCAACCGCTATTGGCCCAATTAAGATGTATTGTTGATCACACTGAGTGTGGCATATCGGGCGCTGGAGGAACTGCAATTCGTAGACAAGAAAAGGCTGCGTGATAGACAAGGCCTAAAGATGGGTTAGCTGTAGTATAGTGTCAGAGCTATCGCTCAATGCCTAGATCTAGGCCTATTGATTCTTACCGAATCGAGAAACGAGAAAACGGATTGTAGACATCAGCCACCAGGTTGAGTATCAACATGTGCACAAAATTGATTAGTTTCTTGAAGATTGACATGCAAGAGGCGCTAGTTGGACTGCATTGTGACATTGTGACTCATGAACGAGCCCGCTAGGATTAGCCTTGCTGACTCAGCAGACCTGCTCGGTCATGACGTCATAAACGAGCCTCGTCTCAAACAGCGAATAATGAATCTTTGCAGTGTATTGATCAACTACTGTATGCCTTTAGTTTGATATGGCAATTGATTAGTTTATTCACTTGTTATTTGCGGACACTAGAAACGAGCGCTCATTTAGTCGTGAATAAAAATTTTTGCCCGCAGAACTCAACACTAGTAAACAGGTTTATGCCACACATGGAGTTGTTTTAGCTTTGCATTTCCATTGAGGTAAATCCTTAAGTTTACAAGAAATATAAAAACTTGATACCTCATTCGTGAAACATCAGATGTAATATAAATTTGTGTAACTTACTTCATGCCTTATAACCTTTTCATGCAAATTTAAAACTGGAATTATAGTCCAAGGCTGCACAATGTTTTGACAGCCGCGCTTTACCTATGTAAAAACTTTGCTACAAAGCGCCCTCACCATGGCGGTTCCGAAATGAAGTGCCACTCTCCCAGTCTCACTATAGTCAAGGGACGTCAAGGGTAGGTGCCACGGAATTCAATACGTTACTGAGAAACCTGTATGATTAAAAAAAATAATCTTGAAGAGATCTATGGAAGTTGTAGAAGTTCTCAATACGAAGAATTGTTCTTTGTAATTTTTATATAAATTCAAAATCAATAAATTATAATGGCAATGTCTTATTTCTTTGTATTTATGGCACAAATGTTTTATTATTTTCGATTTGTTTGTTTTTCATATTTTCAGAAAATTTATTGGATCAGCCCTGTGATTCGGGCCACCTTCATTCACATGCTAACAAAGGTACCCTGTATTCCCGCCAAGGAAAAGGGATTCCTGTCTCAGAAACATTTTGCACAAAGTCCACAAATGTACAGAAGGATAAAAAACGTCGTGAGTTTTGCTATAGTTTTCACTATGCAGACTTTCAGCCTGATGGCGCTACTCTACACATTTCTGATCAGTCTGGGAATGATGACAGGTATGATTTTTTAAAAACTCATTTTAAGCAAGTCTTAGTTTATGGTTTGTAGCTTCTTTGACTTTAATACTTTCGTTGCGTATATGTGTTCCTACTGTCAGCACTGATTTTCAGCTGATCTCGTTACCAAGGAGAGCAGTCTGATGTCTCAGTGTTAGATGATGTGCATTCTAGATCTAGCCCACTAGTGACATATTTCGGACCCTGGGTTTTCAGTTGTGTCACTTTTCTGGAATAACTTGCAAATTTAAGTCAAAACATTATTTTTTTTTTCCTTTTTAAAGTCATATTGGTGTTTACGGTTGGAGCACACAGCCACCCACAAGCCTAGATCTGTGTTTATCAATCGCTTGCAAGCCTTGCAGTAAAGTAATAGTAAAAAGTTTGGTACTGATATGCACATCTTTTATTCCCAAACACCAATCCACTCAGTGCTTGTGGCGAAAATTCTGTATTAGAACCAGGTGATTAGTGTGCTGTACAAGTGTTGTCATCAAGGCAACCGGGAGCGGCTCATTTTGCCAACTTCCAAATGAGATGGCACATACAGAGCTAAAAATTATGCATTTTCATGATGTACCAGTGGATCTATGTCGTAAGATAATGAAAGGGTTATGAGTTTTTCAAAAGCAAAAGAAACACTTTTGAAAAAATTATATCTCCCACTTGAGCAAGAGAGGCCTGATAAGAAGTGTGTTTTAAACAGAGACTATAACTGTTGCGAAGACAGAATCGTTGTGCAAATCATCTGAAAATAGTAATAAACAAAAATGTTGGAGGTAGAAAATACCAGCTCTCAACTTAAACAACCTATAAAAATGCTAGATTTTTTATATTCATAATACCTGTTGATCGAAGCTGAACCTAATACGTGGTGCACATTGCACAAAGTTTCTTCAAATACCTGTTTGATGTGGTTCAATACAGTTGAGTACAGACAGTTTTTCCTTCGTGGAGGTAAAAAGTGACTATATGGCACAATTTGATGGCATCTTCCGAATCAAACTTGTTTGATTTTCTAGATCAATGATTGGTTCAGTTTGATGAAACTGGCCAACAGCCCTTCAGAAGGGTACCATCCATACGTTGCAGGGTCAGGTCTTTTGTTTGTGTGTGAAATGCAGTGGTCCATAATGGACTTTTAAATCAACTTTGGAGAAGAAAAGCACAAGTTAATTTAATATAGCACGCAACGGCCAACACCATAACACAACCCAACCCAATCTGAAATCTATGTGTCGTCCAATGGGCATCAATTTTAAGCCTTTAAAGAAAAATATGAAAGCATACTATGGGTACTTGTATCGTGAATTGAAGCTGACTTCTCTGCTGGAATTGGTCCCACGGGCAAAAGCGGAAGCCACAAAGTTAAATACTTATCTTCTATTTAAACATTTTTACTTAAGGGGGAGGGGGGGGGGGGGCTACACCCCAAAAATCATGATTCGGCTCAAAATTATATGGAGTTTGAATTGTAGGCATGTTTAGCTTCCTCAGCCTTTCCCTCAACTATTTCATTGCATAAGAATAAAAAAACGTATTTTTCCCATACCGGGGATGTTTGTCAGCACCATTTCCTCATAAAGTCAATATTTTATTTTTCTTTATCAGCCGTTTTCTCAAAACCCGACTTTTCTCTAGGCCTATACTTTTTTAAAATAACTCTACCATTTTCATCCAATCTTCATGAAATATTCACTGGATGAAGGGAAGATGTAATACAAAAATTTGAATGTTGAATATTTTTTTATATATGGAATAGATTTTTGTTGGTGGTGTCTGGAGTGTGGATTTTCATGGATTTTTTTCAAACTTGAATACTACCTCAGGAAAAAATTCATAAAAATATTTCTATTTCATTTAGGAAAAAAAACAATACACCAATTTTTAGATCTAAAATGTGTTAACACGCTTGCAAAAAAACAATCAATTCCCATCAGCTATAAGTACGGTATTCATTACGTAAGACATGTCAACAAAATCCAATATGGCCGCCGTATCCTTGGAAACGAAACATTTTTCTCAAATTTGATTGCGGATTTTTAGACTCTTATGCTTGTTATATGTGTGCAATTTGGTAAAATTTGGTCCCGTAATTAATAAACTAGATAGCCTTCAGATGTACCCCCCCCCCTAAAAAATATCCTCCTCTGTAGGTGCAAATAGGTCATTCATCATCAAACATTGACGGACAAACTATTAAATGTGGTTATTATTTTTAAAATATATATTCTTTTCTTCATTGATGTGTGTTTCCTGTCTTCTGCACAACTTCACAACCCCCCCCCCCAAAAAAAAAAAAAAGTAAATAAATAAATAAAAGCTCTTGTACCACATCACCAGTGATGAGAGCGCATCTCTAGTTGGTCTTTTTTGTATGTGTGTGTGTGTGTGTGTTCTTGGCTTTCTTACTTTTTCCCTGCAGATAATAGCCTTTTTTGTGTCGATGTGTTCTTTTATACTCAAAAACAGACTGCCCAACATCCCTTTTGAGTTGCCTTAAGCTAAATTCTAAGTAGATCTAATAGTTAGGCCTTTACAATGTATCTTGTAGCTTTGCATTTCTTTGGCAGAAGAGGCTTCTTTTTTCCTAGACCCATCCGTTTATTTCATTTTACCCTTTTCACATTTATTTAATCTCTGTTTTGTCATCTTTTGCTTGTCGATAAGGGAGTATGGGTACAACAGCCCACCTGAGATTGGCAAAGAGTACTGCGTACGAGCGCAGAGGGAACCTTATGAAGTGAAGATTTTTCTACAGAGTGACTGTTCAAGTGCAAATAAATCAGAATGTGCTCTGCATTTGGTTGAACATGCATTTGTGTTGGCCTATGAAATAAAAGGTGAGTAAAAAATGTTGTTATTAGTATTAGATTTTAAAAATATATTTGGGATAGATCATTTGATAATCAAAGTGCTGTTAACCTCCCCAAAGCTCATTCACAGG